TACAGAGAAACAAGGTAAATGACTCCACATGGGAAGCAATCAACCCAGATTGTGGCACATTTTGCAGGGACAAATGACCTTGTTTCTCATGAACAAAACCACGAAACAAAAAAGAAGAAATGACAGTTACAGAAAAAGACTGGTGAGCCCAAACAATGATATGCAGTATATAAACCTTATTTGGATGCCTATTCAAACCAACCAACAGTAAAAAGATATCTTTGCGACAGAGAAATATGAATGATGAGCAGGTATTAGATGATATTAAGGTTTATTGCTAATTTTGTTAGATATGCTAATAGCATAGTTGCTATGTTTTTAAAAAGTCTTCACTTAGTTTTATACCAAAGCATTTTACTGGTAAAACAACATGGATGTTGATATGTGCCTTAAACCATTATTTTAAAAAAGACAGAAATAAAAACAAGGAAATAGATAAAATAAGAATGGCATCAAGTTAGGCCGAATATATAGCTTTATGCCATTCTTATATATACAGAAAGAGAGATTCATGACTTCATGATACCATTTCTTTTAAGTATAAGTTTGAATTTCCACAATAAAGCAAAATAAAATTAAACAAAAACAAACAATAGCAAGAAAAGCCCTGTGACATGGAAGAGCATTAGAGTGTCAGAGGGTGGGCATTTGCATTAGAGTCCCAGATATGCTACTAAGTAGCCACTTGAGGGCTCTGGCCCTCAGTGTCTAAGTAGAAAGTAGGATTTGGACTTCTTAGAACTCTTCCAATTCCAACATATTTGATTGTGTTACTTCGAAATCCCCATCTCTGGTTTCTTCTCAAGAATCCTTTCCCAACTAAATAACTGTAAAACAGGAGTTTCCTCTAATTCTCCCAAGACTACTTTCTCTGAGTATGTGACTTGCATATCTCACTTTCTATTCTCTCATACATAGAAAGCACCACAACTAATTCCTGTATATCTAAATCATTCAACACTTGCCGCACTCCATGTATACATCTGCTTGTTATATGTATATGTGTCAGTGTTCTATGTCTGAGACTATATATGAGGACACTGTCAACCCAGAATATGGGTGTTCGCTTTAATCATGCTGATGACTTAGCATATTGTCAGCATGCAGCAAATGTATAAAACCATAATACTATGGTCTAATATATGAACTTTCTAAGCAATTTGTTGCAGCTGGCCTAACTGTCCACAGACAGAATACAAAAACCTGCATTTTCTGGCTTAATTTGTTTCTTTGCTCTTCCAACATTATGAACTGTTATTCATAGGATTATAGTTCCAGGGATGGATAAAGGATCATCATGTTTCATGCAAAAATAGTCCTAACTCACAAGGTTTCCCTTTCCCTTCTAAATAAGGGTGTGTGTGGCCCCTGTCTCATATGAGGAATATAAACTTCTCCAACTCTGTCTTTTATATAACTTCTAAAAACTAGGTAGTGACCACATGAAGGCTTATATTAATTTTTCTTCACTTTTCTTTCCTTTAGTGGAGAGGGGGCTTGTGCTTTTGAGTGTCTGGTCACTTCCAGCACTCTAACATGCTTGTCTATATGTAAATTTTTCCTAACCTATCCTCTCTACTCTAAGAAGACCTGGTATGAGGATATTATACACTACAGACAAGTGAATTCCATCTCTGCTGAGGTAGTGCTGGCAAAACCTTTTCTTCCTAAAAAAAAGTGACCATAAATTTCCATCAGAGGCTTCAAAAAAACAGCCCCTTGCTACTGTAAGTAACCTCACAGTTCCTGGCTTGCTGAATTACATAAAAAACGCTACAGCTTGTTTTCTATAACAGTGTAATGATTGTACCTACATGTCAGGGAGTTGCTATGAGGAATAAGATAATGCACATAAAATTATATCTACATGTCCATTACTTTTAAAATTATCTTTCGACATACACATTGCTTCCATGACTCAAATTTAGATAAGGTGAATTCTCTATATGTTCATGTTTTTCTCAAAACTTCTTTCTGGTTTCTACTTTATAAATCTTACAAGCCACTCATATGGTTTGAGGAAACAGTTGCCAAAAGTCATGGAAACAAAGGCTTGCCACATAAAATTCAATTGTTGAATTCTGATTGAACAAGAAGGAACATGAAGGCTTTGAATTCTGTTTCAAATAAAAAAGAGATTATCACAGGACCCAAAAAAATGCACATAAAATGTTTAACAGTTTTGGGGGGTAGTAGGCATACTACCTCAACTAGGACTGCTTGGGAGTCCCCAGAAAGAGTGCATTTTCAATAAACATTTGTTCAATAAATACACTGAATGACATAACGAGAAAGATGTTATTCAAAATCTGTGAGCAAATAGAAGTTGATATTTGCAGAGTGTTAAGTTATGAAATGTCCCCCAAACACAGAATTTTAAAATTAAATAACTCAATCTTGAAAATTTAACAGGGAGAGTTAATAAAGGAAAGGCCTATTTATTCAGATGAATCAAAGATGAATATGAGATGTAATCATGTTTTATTTGTACAGGTCATTCAACCTAGAATCAAAGCACTCACCACCTATCTCATTAACCCTTACAACACCCCCAGGAGACAGGCAGTATGGAAGATGATCCCCTTGTTACTGATGGAGAGAGAGCCTGAGGCCCAGGACAGTGAAGGGACTTGTCAGAGGCCACATCAAGTAAGTGAGTAATGGAGCAAGAAACAGAACAAATTTCTAGTCTTTATCCTTGGCTCACTAATATGTGTTACCTTGAGGTTGCCAAACATCTCAAGTATTTTTTACTCCAAGATTCATTTTAAAAGAAATGCTACTTTTTGTTAAGCAGCCAAAGGTACAAAAGTCAATAATTAACACTTAAAAAACACACATCAGGTGAGATTTTGCTTATTTTGTATTAACAGTTGCATATCAGTTAACAACAAGTTCAGGGAAGAAAAATTAGCAAATGTTCAGAAACTTCTGCATAAGGCAAATTACTGTATTTGAGGACAAATGATGTGAACTCTAATTTGCAACTGAAAACACAAAAGCTTGATTTTGAGTTTCCAAACGGAACTGGAGAGGCTGGGCATATTTCTTCAGTGATTTTCCTATGATTCCATCTGGGGGTAGAGGGTAAACAAACACTTGTTAATGACTCACTGAAAAGAGGAATTACCAGAATTTTCAGGTATTTTAATCTTCAAATTTTCCCAGAAACCCGCAGGAGGATGAGTAGTTGTGCTTTTACTAGCACTTGTATAAAAATAAAATACAAAACGACAAAATAATGAATTTGGTGACAATCAAAATTAATTTATATTTATCTCCTCCCATGACCCTATATTAAGAACCGCGGCGCAGCGAAGGTATGGTGGGCGGAGGGGTTCCCAGGCATAAGCAAACAACCCTAAGGCAAGGACCCCCAAATCTGGGGACGCAAGATGGAGGGCGAGGAAATTGGTTCCTACGTTCGCCCTATTTCCATGACAGAAAAATGGGTTCACAGAGTGAACCGCTTCATGTCCAAGGGATATTCCTGTTTTATTTTTGAAAAACGATGAGAACCCGAAGACAGCCGCCAGTGCCTTCCTTAAACGCACGGCGAGTGGCGGTCACCGCGCCCAGGTCGCTCCCCACCTCTTCCTGGCGCCTGTGCCCGCGCGTCCCGCGTCCCCGCCAGGGCTCGCCTGGCACCCAGATCACCCCTTTGCTGGCTTCTCCGCACTAGAAACGCCGCGCGCCAGAACTCGCACGGGCATGCCAGGGCCCAAGTGCAGTAGGTTGTCGGTGCCCGGAGCCATAGTAGCCACTTTTTACTTTCCTTATCCACACGACTTCTCCCTGGGGATCTTCCAACGGGATTGGAAGGTGGTGAGCCCCGGCTGCGGGCTGGGAAATACGCACCGTGCCAGCCTCCATCTGTCCAGCTATGTGACTCACCTGCGTCACACTGGCCGCTGCTTATTAGTACCGGGAAAATTCGAGCTGTTTGGACATCAGCAGGGAATTTGGAGAGAGGGAGATGAACAAGTGTCATCTCTGCTTAACCTCCTGGGCTGACTGATGGTGGCAAGTTCAGTCGGGTGCTGGCTGCCAGGCAGCTAGGCTATGTTTTGGACACACTTGGCAGCCAGGGAAACTTTAAGGCAGCCTCTGGTCTCCTTTCTATCTTCAGATTTTTTTTAGGGTCTGTGTCTAATGCTAACCTTCTTCACCTTCATTCAAAAGAAGGTTGGGACGCAGGCCTGGAACCCTGACCATGTGGATTCTATCCGTAGGTCTATTTATCAGCTGCTGCATGTTTATTAACAAGTTTATTAACCGTACTGGTTTTCAGTGTCTCTATTTGTAAAAATGGGAGTTACAACATCAACCTCAGAGGGCTGTTGTGAGACTGGTAGGAAAGAATGCATTTAAATTGTTCTTGTACAAGGATGGTTCAATTAATGTTAGGGGCTGCTTGACAGAATTAAATAAGCTTAGCATGAATACTCATTTAACCAACAAGAATTTAATGGCAGCAGCACTGTGTGCAAGGTAGGCCCTGCCCTAGAAACTAAAAAGAAAGCAGAGAACAAAACAGACAAAATTGCTGCTGTCCCCTTGGAGCTTTCATGGGTAGAAGAGGTGTAAGGAGTTACAGAGCAAACACATAGTGTGTCAGACGGAACAGTCAATGGGTGCAGTTGCCATTTTAAACAGGTAGACAGTTGCCCAAAGCATGGGAAGGAAGGAGCCATGGCAACAGCTGTGTGCTCTGGAGGGAAGTACACCATGGATCTACCCTTACAAAATCCTATTACCTCTCCTGCTTCCACCAGGCAAGCATATTACCATGTGAGCCCACCCTAGTGAGCCTTTCACCATGTCTGCCCAAACAGACAGGCTAGGTAGCTGAAGAGAAGCCTAATACTAGCACCACTTCCAGCCACGATGTTTAACTCAAGTCTCTCTTCGTCTACCCCATCCATACTCTGCTGCCCACCCAATCCCTTTACATCTTCAAAAGAACTTCCCTGATAGAGTCCTGAAGGGGGATAACTCACATTTTCATAAGGAATGTACTGTCCCCTTCTCTTTTCATGAAAGATGACAAGGATCATTGGTGATGATGACACAAATCAACCAAAAATTGGCATTTCCCCTTCAATTCTGCGCAGTAACAGTGGTCACACAATTCCAAGGCACTATGCAAAGAAATATCAATAACAGAAAAACAATTTCAGCTGATACGACACATTCTTATTTACATTTTACGGCTACAAGTAGAGAAATGACTTCGAGAAGGCAGGGAAGGTACAAGACACATGCACACAAGTCTATCCTGCATATATACTATCACATTTATCAGTAAAAATGACTGCCAATTATCATGCTCCTCTCCGATACTTAGTGTTTTATATGTATTTACTTATTTAATATCATCAATAACTCCACGAAGTATCTACCATCATTTTACAGAGGAGAAAACTGAGTGTGAGAACAGTTAAATAACTTCCCAAGGTCACAGAGTTAGTAAAGAGTGGGGACACTCCCTTGCTCCCATTTTATTATGGGTTCATTCATAATAAAATAAACATTTATTGACTGCCTTCCATGTGCCAGGCACTATTATAGGCACTAGAGATACAGCAATTTAAAATGTCCCTGACTATCTATCCATCTATCTGCCTATCTTAGCTTACTTTTTTTGTGGATAGACAAGCAAATGGGGTGAGGAAAACAGCATGTTCTTGAATCACACTGTTTCATTCCATGTCAGTTGGGATGTTTGAAGACCTGCTTTCCTAATACATTGCCATTTCACTAAAGTTGTAGTTTCCAAGAACCAATCCCATTAAGTGAGGGCTTACTGTATAGAAGATAAGTACAAAGGAGAAAAACAAAGCTAGGAAAGAGAAAAAGGAGGGAATATGGTTGCATTGTTAAATAAAACATCTAGGGAAAAAACTTCACCCAGAAGGTAACAGAACAGAAGCAAACTATACCAAAGTGGGGGAAAGTGCTCCAAGCAAAGGGAAAAGCAAGTGCAAAAACCTGAAGGCAAGATTAACAGGAAGTGTAGCTGAAGGGTAGTGGGTTTCAGCAAAGAGAAATATTATAGATGGGGTGAATGATGGAGTGGTCATTCAGGGGTGTAAGCTCTGATTTAGGTTATGACCCTGAGTGAGGTGGGGAGTCCCTGGGGCGTGGGCTGGGAAGCTCTACAGAACAGGATCACTCTGGTTACTGTGCTGAGGTGCACTGCAAGGCATGAAGGAAAAAGAAACATGGAGACCACTTAAGAAGCTGTCATAATAACCTAGATGAGAAATGATGATGGCGTGGGCTCAAGTAGTATTAGCAAAGGTCTGACAAATGGGTGGATTTCTAGTTAGACATGAAACTTAGAGGCACAAACTTATTTCACTGCACTCCATCTGGAATGTGAAAGACAGAGGAATCAAGGATGGCCCCAAGGTTTTTGCTCTGAGCATCTCCTGAAAAAAAAAATGGTTTGTCCTTAACTGAATGGGGAATACTGTAGATAGAGCAGGTTTGGGGGCAGAGCTTCCAGCAAGTTCAACTTGAGGACCTTTTAGATAAGTCTACTAGAGACAGGTATCAAGCAGGCAGCATGAATAAACAAAACTGGAGTTTGGAGTTAAGGAAAGGTCAGGTTGGAAATACTTTTTTTTTTTGTTTAAGATGGGATACTACGCTCTGGGTGTTGGCACCTGGAAAAGGTCAGGTAAGGGATGAGGACAGAAGAAGGGGTGATAGAGAGAAAAGGTGGGAGAACCCCCACCGTGTATGCTCCAAATTTTCCACTTCATCAGGACTGAAGAGTGAGAGACTGGCACAGCCTTGGGACATGGGGTCATCTTTGCTTCAGTTAAACCTCTGCCTCCTCTCCTGGGCAGGTTTAATAGTTTTCTTCACCAGAGGTGGCTGGCAGGAAGCAAGAGTTTGGTGTGCCTTATTTGGCTTTAAACCTCCCAAGTTCCATAGACCCATTGAATCTCTGCAGGTGTCAGTATTCCCCTCTGTAAAATGGGGTTCTGACGCCCCTTAACGTCCGTAGTCTAGGTTCAGTGAGAGAAAGGGGCCCATAAGCCACTCTTTTACTCCTTCCTGCTCTTCAGGGCTTTTCCCCAACGTTTATGTCCCATTTATCTCCATACACACGTTGTCCTGTCTTGGTCTGAGCCTCCCAGCGCCACGCTCCTACGAAACAGGGAGCCAAAGGTGGGGTGTGGACTCCCATCCCCGACGAGAGCGCTCCCTGTCAACTCTGCCTGCCTTGACGCGAGGGGACCCCACGCGCCTCGTGGCGTTGCTCTGCCCAGTCCCCCCTCACCCTCCCCGAACACACCCCCACCCGGAGCGCCTTCTCCTACCCGCAGCCCGGGCGGGGAGGGGCCTCGGCCTGGCCGCGCCGCCTCGGCCCAGAAGCTTCCTCTCAGACGCCAGCAGAGTCTCGTGGGCCGCGGCTCCCCGGGACGGGCCTGGAGGCTGGAAGACGTCGCGTTGTGGCGGGACGCGGGGTCTCGGGTCTGAGGCGCGGCACGGGGCGGCGCGGGGCGGGGGGCTCGCGAGCCCGGGTTCTGCGGGCGTCAGGCACACTCCGCGGCGGCCCCGCCCGCCCGCCCGGCGCCCCGGGGAAGGGCGCCCTTGCTTCTGGCATCATGTTTTTAAAAGAGGAATTCCGTTTTTCCTTCTCCTGCGCCCCTCAGAGTTCTGAAGAAAAGGGGACCCCCGCGTATCCTGTGGGAGAATTTTGCTTCCTGCCAGGAGGATTGACTAGGGCCTCCTGGATCTGGAGGGAGTTGTCCCGGCGGAGCAGCCCCGTCACCCGCGGGCCACGAGCCCAACTTTCGCTGGTCCGCGTCGCGGCGGCGCCGGCTGCGCCCGGGGGAACCTGAGCCTGGGGCCGGTTCCCCTGCCTGCGGGTGAAATCCCGAGGGAGTTGCTGAGGGGCTCACAGATGAAGGAAACCATTTATGAAACCAAATTTCTTTTTTTTCTTTTTTTTTTTTCCCTTCTGGTTTGACTTTTATATATATATTTTTTTTTTAATTTTTTACATCATCGTTCATTTTTAAACAATATTTGCTTCTCCCACCCCCTCAGGGGCAGTCCCCATAGTTTCCTTCACCAGTGCACCCCTGCACCATCACCTCAGTCCCCTGTGCGCCTCCCTCCCTCCCCTTGAGCCCTCTCCCTCCTCCTCTCCAGCAGTATATCTCGGATTTATAATTGCCCGTTTGTGCTTTGTTGTGTTTTGTACTGTTATTATTTTTTCACACTGATGTCTTATTGGGTTCCCCTATATTCCTGCTATAAGTGAAACCATCCGATATTTTTCTTTTTCCTTCTGGGTTATTTTAGTAAGCATAATTCCTTCTAGTTCCATCCACGTTGCCCACCGCCAATATTATTTTCAATGGTGAAAAGCTGAAGGCCTTTCCTTTAAGATCAGGAACAAGACAAGGATGTCCTCTCCCACCACTGCTCTTCAATATAAAACTGGAAGTCCTAGCCAGGGCTATAAGACAAGAGAAAGACATATAAGGAATCCAGACAGGGAAAGAAGAAGTAAAACTACCACTAATTGCAGACGATATGATAATATACATAGACAACCCTAAAAACTCCACAGAAACACTGCTCAAAATAATCAACCAGTTCAGTAAAGTAGCAGGATACAAAATCAACACACAAAAATCAGTTGCCTTCCTATACACAAACAATCAATCTGAAGAAGAAGAAATCAAGAAAACCATCCCTTTTATCATTGAAACAAACAAAAAAAAAAAATCAAATACTTGGGAATAAGCCAAAAGAGGTAAAAGACCTATACAAAGAAAATTATAAAACACTGTTAAAAGAAATATTAAACCAAATTTAGAAGGCAGTTTTTCCATACCTTCAGCAACCCTTAGGCCTAGAAGGATCCCAGAGTGGCAACAATGGAGGGACTCCTCTGGATGTTATGGACAGTTGTTCTTTAACCTTTAGAGAGTGACCCATCTCTTCAAAATTGCATGCAAGTTGTAGACCCTGGCCCAAAATCACACACTTTGGGATGCATGTTTGAAGTTCCAGGAAAACACATATACCACCACAACCCAACCTCCTTTATCACACCTGGGGGGGGGGGGGAGAGATAAATACCTGAGTGTCTCAGAGAAAATAGGCATAAGCTTTGTGATCTCCACAGGGGACAACAAAAAAAAACGAACACTCTGTTAATTTCACTGAACTTATTGGGTTGTTGTTTTTATTTTTTCCTCTCAGTAACAAGTGGACAAAAGTTAATCAAGTGACCAAGTGAGTTTGGTGCATATGAAAGGACGCAGACCTCCTGAGAAAGGAAAGATGTAATTAGAATAGAATCAGTCCCTTGGGTTGTCCTGGCCTCCTCAAACCACCAACGCAAATGTAATTAGGACAAAAATGTTTTGGAAGGAAGTTAGCAAATAAGGAAGGTTTCCTTAGACGTAATGATGAGAGTTCTGTAATTTTATTGTTCTGTTAACCAAGAAATTTCTATTATAAGCCATAAACTTATGATGGCCTCAGAGAAGCAGTACAAGTTTTCTTTTCTCTACTTTTCTTTACCTTGGGGGTTGGGGGAAGGAACAAGAATGCCATACACACTGCTCCAAGGACAGCAGCTCTCCACCATCTAACTGCTGCTGGTGTTGTATGCACTGGTGAAGGATAACATATCTGTCTTGTTTTAATTCACCAGATGGAGAAAATGCAACAATATTTGGGGGAAAAAAACATTTCCTGTCTTTTTGTTCTTAACATAAAAAGTACTTTATGGCTATTTTTTTCAGCATATTTTCTCCTCCTCTGGGGCACTTTTTAAAGCCTCAAAGCATATATTTGCCAGGAGTCTTTGGATTCTCACAATATTCCTAACTCTTTCTACAGCTAAGTCTTTCTGGATCTGCTCCATTAAGGGAAGTTGTGTTTTACAAGCTGTAGACGATAACTGCAATAGCTAAGCTTTTTTTTTTTTTTTTTTTTTTGAGGGAAATTTTTAAACTTAAAACACTTAGTATTTATGGGCCATTGCTTTTCTTTTATTACCCATTTAACCATGTCTTTTCTTTGACGCTCATCCAGAGGGACTCTCATCATCCATGGCCAGATCAGAGAAGCCAAAAGGAAAGGTCTTCATCATCTCTAATCTCCATCTCTCACCTCCCTCCAAAGCAGTTTACAATAAAGAGAACTCCCACATCCTGATCCCTGCTCTTCTTTGATCTTCCCCATCATTTTCTTATTAAAAACAACTGCTCTGTTGCCACCATCAGTTTCAAGTTGTCTGAGTAACTATTTTCATGCTTAAATTTTTAATTTTGAAAATCAAGTCATATATTAGAGTTATTATGGCAAATATAATATCCCCACTTGAAAAACAGGGGAAATCTGCAGAGAACAACCTATTAATTTTCCACCAGTTAGAAAGCACTAAAATACTACTTTCTGAGTATGGGTCTCTGGTTTTCTAGCCTGGCTTCTTCCTGTCTCAGTTACACCACCTTTCATGGTTTCCTGGGCTATTTCTTCCATCGGACATTAATTAAAAGTGAGCAAATATTAAATTTCATTCCACCAACATAATAAAAATACTGCTTTCCGTAACAAGTTACCAAACTCCAGCTAATGATGCAACATACCACCAAATTCCAGTAGAACGATTAATTTGAATAAGCCTTAGATTTCATAGTTTTGAATTTATTAACAACTATATTGCATATAAATTAATGGATCCGATAAGTTATCAAATAAAGATTTAAAAACTTTATAAAGATTATAATAAAATTTGTAAAAAGGACATTAATATTAGCCAAACTTGAAAAAAATCAATAAAGCAAGATGCTTTAAGTTTTTACATAATACATCATACTCTATACAGCTCTATAGGAGATTCTTTCATTCACAGCTAGACATACATCTTCACTTTCTGAATTTCACCATCTCTAAACCCAAAGGTAACTTTCCACTTCGAATTATCTTCCTCCAGGAGACATGCTGTCTCCCCATGACTTTCTCCAGGCTGGGTAGCTAGCTTAGGAGCCACTGCCACAGATCCCCCAGCAGCACTTTGTCGGTGCACCATTAGATGCACATTACTGACCTTGCTGGTATAATTGTCAGTCTACCCTGTTACACAATAAACTGCACAAAGGAAGGGACTAATTTGTTTTGCCCAATATTTTCCAAGTACCTGACACAGAAGAGCTATTGATAAATATTTAACAAATCAATAAACGGACAGTGCTTTTTTTAAGTCCAGGAAGCCAATATGAGAGCTTCATCTCTTCCTTTCAATCTAATGAGGAAGCCTCAGGAGTGAAAAGAAAAAAGTACAGTGTGGCATTGGCCAGAACACCGAGTTTGAAACCCAACTCAGATCCTTACCAGTTGTGTCACTTTGAATAAGAGACTTACTCTTCTGAACCTCATTTTCTCTTCTATAAAATTGGTATAATAAAGTATATTTTGTAAGGTTGTTTAAAAATTTATAAACATGCACCTGATAAAAGTAAGCAACATATGCTATAAGCAAATATTATCATAAACAAAACAAAACCTTCGTCAAGAACTAAGCCTTGTAAGTATATGGGAAATGCACTAACAGAGGCAATCACAAGGAATTATGGGAGTAAACTCGATTGGAGAGAGCAGCACAATTCAAAAGGAAGGGATCAAATGATTACACACAAGGCCTGAGCAGTATGGCTTATGGGGGTAATCACAAATAGTTGATTTTCCATTTAATGCAAAGTAAGGTCCCAACTTAAAATGGCTCGTGAAACTTCTTTCAAAAACATGCTCACACACCCTGTTTTCTCTGATCTCATCCCATACTCGTTTTTTTCTTCTGAATGTGCTAAGCAGCCTCCTACCCTCAGGCTTCGCATTGGCTGTTCTGTCTGCCTAGATTTTCCCCCTCTGTCCACATCTCACTGTTTTACATCCTTCCGTATCTTTACTCAAATATTCCCTTTTCAATAAAGCCAACCATAACCAGCCCATTTAAAATTATACTCCCTCCAAAAACTATAAAGTGTGCTTAATTATTATGTGTATTGTTTACTGACATCATCCACCCCCATCCAAACAAGTTCCACCAAGGCAAAGATTTTAGTTTTGTTCCTCAAGATATTCCAAGTGCCTGAGACAGGGCTAGCACATTGTTGTGTCAAATGAATGAATGAAGTGTGGCAGGAATGTGAAGTCAGGGTAAGAAGTGGTGAGAGGTGAAGCTGGAGAGATATAAAGAAACTGTGGTGTGGTGAGCAGCTTAGATATTTATCTGGTAAGTAAGGGGAAGTCATTAAAGGTGAGTGGCATGTTCAGATCTGCTTTTTAGATAAGTCACTCAAGGGACAGGATTTGAAGGGAATGATAACA